ATAAAAAAGGACTCTACTGACGAGTAAATTAATTATAAATTTAGAAGATAAAAAAGGACTCTACTGACAAGCAAATAAATTGTAAATCTAGAAAACAAAAAAGGACTCTACTGACAAAAAATGAGCAATCTAGAAGATAAAATTAGGACTCTACTAGCAAGCAAATTAATGAGAACGCTCTCTTATACTTGTTCTTGGTATTAATTAAAATTATGAAGACGTCTATTTATTTGCCGTGCAGTCAGGCGCATTTTAATGTTATTCAATGCGCATAATAATGTTATTCAATGCATTTCTTAGTTTGGATGTATTAAAATGGAATGTACACCTGCATATTTTTGAATATAATATTTAGTTCAAATAAAAATGGTTTAGTTAATCTTATATATATATATATATTATATATATATATATATATATTATGTGTAAAATACGCCTGATCGTATTATTTTGTAAAAAGAGCATTAAAGTGCAATATCATATATAATATCAAAGAAAAACAAATAATGAAATCGTTCTGTTATTAATTACCGTGTTTGCATTATCAAATGATCTATTCACAGTATTAAGGAATGTATAATTAACATAAAATCATAAAAATGCACTGTACAAAATTCTGTTATCATAACATTCATCCCTGCTTGTTTATATGTAAAATGCGCCTGATCGCACGGCAAATAGATAGACATTGTCATTGTCTGTATGTTATAAATCTTACCTCCAGATAATCAAAATTGCAATTATGATGACTTTCCAAATCCAAATCCATTATGACAACTTGCACATGGGAACCTGCCGGTCCTGATATCCTCCAAGTGCAATCAGCGTTTCGGCCATAAGGTTGAGGGTAATGAGGAGATATTATGCTGCCCTTGGCTGAACTCAAAGAACCACCACAACCTAAAATAAAAAAAAATAATAAAAAAAGCTGGCGTTAGGTAATAAAATAATATTTCAAATTTACCAGAGGATGTGCCATCCCAACTAATGACAAATCCTTCACTACTCTTCGACATATCGGAATGGAACTTCAAATACAACTGATTGCTAAGTGAGCTTATGGTTAAGGGAATATCATTTCCACAATATTTGCCCATCAAAGGCGAGCTCTCGTAACCACCGTTCCTGAAAATATAAAATTTACAATCGCTAAATCGCTATCCAACATATTTTTATTAACTTCCCGTAGGGTAAGTTATTGTAATCGCCCAATTGAAAATTTCTTAACGTTTTAGAGGTTTCTGAACATTTTGGCATACCTCAAAAAAAATTGATGTGTTTATGTGTGGATACAATTTTTCGTCTACGTTTTACGGATCAACCGATTTGAATAATTCATTTACTATTCGATTCCTATAGAGAGATGTGCTGATTAGTTTTTGGCAAAGGCAGGTCCAGTTGTTTCGGTGATATGGAGCAAAGAGTGTGAAATATAAATCGAGTTGTTGAGAGAACGGAGCATCCGATTTGAATGATGAAACCTTAAATGTGCAAGGATAGGGAGATTTGGTGGTTAGTTTCTGTCAGAGGCAGGTCTAGCCGTTTCGGAAAGACGGAGCTGAATGTACAAAATAAGACAGTTTTTGAGAGAACTGAGAAGTTCCCTCAATTTGCCTTAAGGCACTAGTTTTTAATATTAACTACTGAGGATCAAACTACAAATTCAAAGAAAAGGACTCTACTGACGAGCAAAAGTGAAAAAAGAACTCTATTGTTAAGCAAAACTAAAAATTAACGAAAAAGAAATTTTAGTGGCGATCAAATTAAAAATAAATTACAAATAAAATTAAAAATGAAACTACTGACAATCAAATTAAAAATGAAAAAAAAACATAACTTTACTGACAAGCAAAACTAAAATTAAAAGAAAAACAAACTCTATTTTTGAGCAAATTAAAAATTAAAGAGAAACTCTACTAATGAACAAACTAAAAATAAAATTTGAAAAAGGGACTCTACTGACGATCAAAAAGAAAAATACAATTGAAAAGGAACTCAACGGAAGATTAAAGAGAAAAAGAAAATTAAAAACGATCAAATTAAAGATAAAATTAAAAAAGGACTCTACTGGCGAGTAACCTGCAAATTAAAAAAAAGACAAATTGACGATCAAATTAAAAATTAAAAAGGGACTCTACTGACTATCAAATTAAAAGTAAAATTTAAAAAGGACGCTACTGACAAGCAAACTGAATATAAAATTGAAAAGGGGACTCTACGGACGATCAAAACTAAAAATGAAAGAAAAAAGGGACTCTACTGACAAGCAAAACTAACAAAAAATTAAAAGAGAGACTTTACTGACGATCAAATTAGAAATGGAATTAAAAAAAGATTCTACTGACAAGCAAAACTAAACACAAAATTAAAAAGGGACTCTACTGACAAGCAAAACAAAAATAAAATTAAAACAGGACTCTACTGACGATCAAATTAGAAATGAAAGAAAAAAGGGACTCTACTGACGATCAAACTAAAAAGAGAATGAAAAAGGGACTCTACGGATAATCAAATTAAAAATTAAATTGACAAAGGGACTCTACTGACGATCAAAAAGAAATAGAAAATTAAAAATGGACCCTACTGACAAGCAAAACTAAAAATAAAATTAAAAAGGACTATACTGACGATCAAATTAAAAATGAAAGAAAAAAGGAAACTCTATTCATGAACAAACTAAAAATAAAATAAAAAAGGGACTAAACTAATTAATTAATTCTGGCTAAAGTTCTAAAGCTTACTGATATACTTTAAATAAATAATTTTAACTTTGCAATTCAGTTTATATAATTCTAATATAATACTCGATATTGTACGATTCATTAAGTTTTGTATATACTTTTCATGTAAACATATATAAGCGTCCTCGTCCAATTCATAAGCTCTTATATTTTGTCTATAAAACTAGAATAATGTGAGTTACTGTATTAATAATCTGTTTAAAAACATTTAATATTCCTTGACAATTTCGTTACGGTACGGGAAGTTCCAGCAATTTGCCTTAAGCCACTAGTCTTTACCTGATTTCCAAATAATCAAACTTGCAAGTGCTGTGATGTTCCAAATCAAATTTGGAGATATTCAAAGCTATTTGTTGACCATGTGGTGCTTGTATGACCCAGACACAATCCTTGTTTGCCGGATATTCTTGTGGGTAACCGGGTGAACGTAGGACACCAGTTGTTGTATAGTATTTACCACCACAGGCTAAAAAAAATATCAAAAAAAAATAAATTAACAACAATTAATAACTATTTTCATTTTTATTACAAATTTGTTAATGATTATACTTATTGCTGATTATAAACATGGCAAATACTCTATTTAAATACGCATAAACAAATATACATATAAAAGTTTATAATTAATTAATTTCGAATTTGAATTTAAAAAAACGGGATAAAAAGTATCCTATGTCCTTTTCCTGGCTCTAAACTACCTCGCTGCCAATTTTCAGCTAAATCGGTTCAGCCGTTTGTGAGTTATAAGTGATGTAACTAACACAATTAAATATTTTAAATTCTCATTTATTTTTATCGTAAGTGTAATTTTTATAATAAATTTTAAAGTGTAAAATTTGGATTTTGAAACATTTAACTTATTTAGTATGCGATATTTTCTATTGAGCAAATCATGCCAAGAGAGCAAACAAAACTAGTCTTTCATTTTTAAACAAACACTCGTATTTCATGTTGGATTTTTAAAATTTTAATTTAATTTATTTTTCATTACTTACGATATCCAAAATTGCATTGTAAACTTCTTCTTATTGATATCGGAAGATTGTTTTAAAGTTAAGTTTTTAATGTATTTTAAAAGTATTGTCCAAAATTAGTAAAAAATGAAAAAAATTACATATTTCTTGAACTATATCGAAATAAAAAAAAACTAATTACATTTTTATCTGTATTATTTCTTCATAGTTAATAATCAAAGTTTGAGTATAAATACCACTATGTATAATAAAAGCTCTAAGATTTTTGTTCCAAAGTAAATTTTGCTTCCATTTTCATATTTCTTCATTTACATGGCTTCAAAATTCAAAGTTCATCAGATTCGAAACTTTTGCTATAAAAACAAAAGTTACAATTCAATTTCTCGGAATAAATAAGTCATTTTCTAAGCACTGACTCCCCATTTTCCATTTTTTCTATTTAATTTGTATCTATTTTTTTAGCAAGTTAGGTTTCAACAACTAGTTAGATAGATTATTATAATCTATTAAGTATTCTTGATTTTATATTGGAAAAAAAATCCAAAGCTCGTTTTGGCGCCCGTAAGGCTTGCGCCCGCATTTTTTGTATGCATTGCATTCAAGGTAGGACCGGCCCTGTATATACGAGATCTGTTCAAAAAGTACCCGGAATTACTAATAATTAAATTTCGCGGGTCTGGAGTGTCTGATTGTCAAAATTTTTTTTATTGTGTTGGTATACATGCCCCTAAAGTATGATGAAATTTTCAGCTATATTCACTGTTTACTTTGTCTGTGGTAGTCGCTAAGGTTCGACGTGTTTTTCTGAGCTCGGCGATTTTTACAATGGAAGAATTGAAAAGTCAAAGAATTTGTATTAAATTTTGCGTAAAAAATGAAATAAAGTGTTGCAAAGTGCAAAAATTCACCAGATATGGCTCCGTGTGACTTTTTTCTATTCCCAAAGTTGAAGAGACCCATGAAAGGACGGCGGTTTTCCTCGATTGAAGAAATAAAGGCCGAATCGCTGAGAGTGCTCAAGGACATATCAAAAAGTGAATATCAAGGGTGCTTCGAAAATTGGAAAAAACGCTGGCATAAGTGTATTATATCTGGGGGGGACTACTTTGAAGGGGACCACATTAATGTAGACGAATAAATAAATATTTTTTTGAAAAAACGAAAATTCCGGGTACTTTTTGAACAGACCTCGTATATGTAGACTTTGTACATATTAGTATTATGTTATGAAAAGTAAATAATTATTCGGTTTCAGTTCGAATAATCATGAGTATAATGGTTCAAAATGGCTTTGATTAACAGATTGATTCTATTTGCAGGAACCTTCTTACTGAGAGATTCTGCGCAGGAGGAATATTTATTTTCAGTATCATTTAGGAAATATGGAAGGAGTCTTCATGCAAGGATTGAGCAATTTAATCATCGATTTAGTTTTGATTCTCATGATCCTGGAGTATATTCATCATCAACAGTCACAGGGCTACTGGAGCATTATAAAGTTTGTATTAATAAAACTAATTAGATTTTATTAGTAGCTACACAGTAATTGTAAGTAAATTCACAGTAATTGTAAGTAAAATTAAATTGTATTTTTTATTTGCTTTATTAAAATGTTGAATATACAAATAGAAATTTTATCCAAGACATGTAAATAGTCCATGAATCAAATATATGCAGCAATATTTGATTTGAAATTGATAAAATTTGTTACTAATTTTATCATATATATAAAACAATATAACTTTATTTATTTTAGGCATTTAAAATTATACTAATTTTAATTGTGTTTATTACAGGATCCAACTTGTGTGATGTTTTTTGAACCTATGCTGACTGTTCCATTGAATCGAAATTATCCATTTTCTTTGCAACAGCTATGTAGATCTGTGATTGTATCAAAAATTACATATGATGGTATTAGCATGCTAGGATTACCGAGAGCTTTGAAATCATATCTGCGCGAATATCATTATAAACAAAGAGTTCGTGTAAAACGATTTGATGATTGTCCTTCTTACATGGTATAAAAAATAAATCTTAAAAGTTATTCATTTAATGATATGCTTTATTGAAATTATGGCATCTTTTTCACACATTAGGCTGTAAATCAATTTTCAATTTTATTTTTTGTGATTTATTATGAAATATTAACTATGATTATATTATATATATATATACATATATATATATATATATATATATTTGATTCTTATGAAACATATTCATGTCATTTTTTTGTGTGAGAAAGGTAATCATAAATTTATTTAATGTATTTTAGTTTATAGACCATAATATTACATACATTTTTATTAATAATTAATTGATTCAGACTATATATATATATAAGTTATTACTTGTCTATGCTTTTTTGTATTCACTTTTTGCTTTATAAGGTGAATTCTTCATAAACATTGCGCAATAAATTTGAAAATTAATTTGAGAATACTTGCCTCTTCTTTTCTTCTTTTTTAGACAGTTTTGTTAGTGGTTACAGATTTTCAGTCAATCAAGTTTAAACTACTAATATTTGAAACATGAGAAACAGTAAAAGATATATGATATGCATGGTGATTATAGAGGAAAACCAGTAAATTTTCTGTTATTATTATAAGATGTGTCTATTTAAACTTTTGAAGAAAATCTTGTTAATATTATCGGTAGAATGACCCTACAATATTGATGCACCTAAATTTAGTAAAATGGTGCAAGAAGTGAAGCAATTACACTAGGTAAAAATTGGTAAGCTGGGACTTGAAATTTAGATCAGGCTATCCTCGAATGGTCTATTATTATCTACGATATGTAAGTATATTCATTTGCATTTTAACGTTGTATTGTTGATAATATTATTGAAGGTGTACCTATATATACAGATTATATATGACTAGTCTCTGTATGTGAAAGTATATTGGTGGCTTTATGATAATGGATTCTAAAATTGGATTATTGATAATATTATAAAAGTGGTTAAAGCAATGGAAAGATATATGTATATGGATTATATAAATAGTCGCTTTGTGTAAGTACAACCATGTGATTTCACAAAAATGGATTGTAACAAAGGATTATTGAGAATTTTATAAAGGTTTATATCAGTGGAGATGTATGTATGTATTATCTATGAATAGTCTCTATCTCCATCTGTTTAAGTATATTTGTGTGAGTTTATTGAATTTGTGTGCCTTCATGAAAATGGATTAGAACATAGGATTGTTGATAATATTTTAAAGGTGATTTCATATCAATAACGATGTATGCATGTATGGTCATTATATGCAAATAGTCTCTACTTTGTAAGTATATTCGTCTGGATTTATGATTTTAATATTGGACTAATGATAATATTATAGAGGTGGTTCATATTGATAGAGGTGTATGTATGTACATATATATAGGGTAGGTATGTATATATATAATATTATAAAGATGGTTTCATATCAGTAGAGATGTATGTATGTATGTATAGTGATTATCCATGAATAGTCTCTTTTGTTATTTTTGTGGCTTTATGAGAATAGATTGTAACATTGGATTATTGATAATTTCAGAAAGGTGGTTCACATAAGTAGAGATGGCTGCACTTGTTTTATAGAAGCTTATACTAGGAGGAATTTCTGAATTTTCTGATAAATGTTGATTGTTGATAAATTATTTCAGAATACTTACTGTGCAATCTGAATGATAAAAATATTACCAAAAATTAAATTCTGTAAATTTATCTTGATATCTTTTGTAACGTTAAAGGATGATTCTAGAGAAAATGCAGTATATAGATAAAAGCCAATAACTATACTAAAAAGAAGAATAAAAATTATAAACTTTTAATCTTGCGGTAAAAGCTTTTTTTCGTTGAAATTTTATTATTAATGTCTATTAAATTATTTCCAGCTGCCCAATGTGTTATAATTTTCAAAGCACACATTTTTTTTAATACACGTTTCGTTTCCATTGCGGTTTTTAATATTTTATTTGAACGAAGAGTTTTATTTAGATTCTGGCTGTACATGAAAGATTTGCTGGGAACTCGTACCTATATAAATTGTGGAATACAATTATAACAAAATCATGAAATACTATCTTCATTTGTTATATCTATTTGAATTGACATTCATTTATATCAACTAAATATAAAAGTTTACCTGTTTATTTGTTTTTGCGCTTAAGTGAGAATAACAATTAAATGTACTGTCCAAAAACTCATCAGAGAGTCTTAATAATTGAGATATACATTTTAATACCGAATACCATGTTATTTTTAACTGGCTTCAATTATAATTTAAAATTCATATTGCATTTGATATTTTTGTAACTGAATTTCGATTAAACTCTGAAAATAAAAGAAAATGATTCGTTGAAAGTTTCTAAAAGATTCTCTAGAAAAATTCTATTGAAATTAATTCAGTTTAATGATAATTTTATTTCAAATTAAAAGTGCATTTGCTTTCAATCCATAACGACATAATTCTTATCACTTACAAAAATTTGTTCGAGATTCCTACAAACTGTAAAGATTTCTTACAAAATAAAGAAATGCATAATATTAGAAGAAATATTTTTCAAATTTATTCTTATATCACTTTTTTAAAAATTCACAAACAATTCAAATTATAAATATACACTCTTCTTGTCTTTCTTCAGCAAGCTGCTTTATTAAATCATTTATTGCTGATGATTACTTCAGTTTTTCTAAAGTGTCTGCCTCCATGAAAAATTTGGAATAGTTATATTAATTTTTGCTGACGTACTCACGTTGGGGGACCCCGTATAAATTGATACGGCGGTATCTACGCTCATGCTATTTACAAATAATTTTACCTTTATTGCGATTATTTGTTAATATTGTGATTTAATTCTTGTTACTGTTATATCATCTCATCATATATTGTTGTATAACAGTTTACAAAGATATACTTTCTTGATTTTTGTGAATATAAAAAACGGTAATTGCAAGTCAGTTGTTTTCTGATCTCTTTAAACCAAAGTAAACGTTTTGGGCCACTTTAAAAGTTTGTTGAAATTATATTTATTATTTTATTTTGGTAAATATAAATTTAAAATTAATTTAAAAAAGAAGGAAGTTGATACATGAATATTGAAAATGATAGACTTTTCTTTGTTACATTATATAAATTATACACATTAGTTGACCTTTTGGTACTATATAGTATTTAGCATTTTCGAATGTCGTGTATTAATTTTATGAAGCTATATATTAGAGTCATTAAAATAAGCCTAGAAATAAGTGTATAATGTAGTATGAATTTCAATATTATTTTTTTATCAAAGACAAGTCAGACTCGTGCTCAAAATTTACGTCATACGAATTAGACTTGATATAATCTTTTATATTCGTTTGAATTAGGTACTTATTTTTATACTTTCTCTATAGAGATCATAATTTTTTTTTAATGAAATTCAATGTTGTGATAAGTGACAATAACTATAGTTCTTTAAAAGAAAAATATCAAATGAACTTTTGCATTTTACTCTTATAAAAATGCACCGAATACAATTATATTTTATATATGTAGTTATTACTGTGTATATTTTAGCATAAAAATAACATATTTATTTCCGATACCTATATGATTAAATAAAATTAACACTGAAGAAATATTTCGAGCTGAATAAATCACAAAGCATACAAACATCACTATATATGCACACTGAAATACACCAAAAATTATAAATCTGAGTGACATTTATTTTTAGGCATTTATATTATGAATGTTTACATGTATATTCACAATGTAATGTAAACCATAATTATTAAAACAACATGATATATTATCAATTATCAAATTTGAAAAAATTAGTCACTTCTTTGTAAATTATGTAATTACATTTTCAAAGTTTGATTAGTGATTCCTGTTTATTGAACAAATAATTAATCACATTTACAAAATTTGTCACTAAATGAAACTAAATCCCAGCGTTATTATTTGCCGCAAATACTTATTAATTAATAATAATAAACAATTTCTAACATTGTTATAAGTTACAATATCACAATCATTAAAGATATAAAACACTTTTAATAGATTTTTCACAAATTGCGGCTTGTGGGCAATCTATGAACTATCTGAACAATTCCAACAATTTGATAAAATACTGATTGAAGTCGTGCGCTACGTTCCCATGTACGTTTTGAAATCAGCGAGGAGTTGAAATTCAGGAATCGCGTAGCGGCGGTACAGCGAGGCGGTGCGGCGTGCATTCGAGGGCCGTACACGGGGCACCGGCTGGCACCGGCCTTCGCCTCGATTGGCACGAGGCGCACATTGTCGCACCGACGACTGCGATTGGCCCGAACGAGGGAGCACGATACGGGGCGGGCGTGGCCGAGCGCATCGAGTTGTTTCGAGCACCTCAGTCGAGTATTTTCCTCGAGTACTCCTTGAACGTCTTTCCAGTCGTAAAGTGCTTTTGAAGAGTCGCGTCCAAGGCTCGCGCGCCTTCCTTACTGACCTCGTATCTAATACCAATAACGATTTTTATCAACCCGTCGAAAAGTTAAACAGTGTCGCGCGTGGCATATTTTTATCTTTTATGGCGATTGATTTTATCGGTTCTTTGCTTCCGGGTTAAAGCAGGAACCGGGAGCGGATGTGCGTAGTGTTAGTGCGCCACGAGCGAAGATTTAATTTTTGTTCGTCGTCAAACACATGTCCGGTAACGGCGGTTATGTGGCGTGCGACAGCATCGTCAGCAACACGAGTACCAGCAACAGTAACAACGGGACGGTCACCGGCGGCAGCGAGGACGCCAATCAGCAGCAAACCGATGTTCTGCCGGACTTGAACGGCGTCGACTTGGCTATGAGTCTTTCGCCTCCCAAGAATTCGATTCATCAACAGCATCACTTGCATTTGCATCACGGCACCGCTCCGCACCACTTGGCTCTGGGTCCGCACCATTTGCACCAGCATTTACAGCACCAGAGCGCAATACATTCGACGCCGTTCAGCGTCACCGACATCCTCAGCCCCATCGAAGAATCTTATCGAAAACTAGAATTGGCCGGAGGCAATCCGCCCTCGCCTTACAGGTGCGCGTTCAATCTCATTTTGATATATCGACAGAAATTTCTTCACATTTCCGAATAAATGCGGCGATAAGCATGTATTGTTGGCTTTCATCTTTTCAACCATAGTTCAGAAAATGTGATTCACAGAAGTTATCTATACAAATTGAATGTATTATTACATCGACGACAAAATATAATAAAAGAAGAAAATTGTTTAAAGTGTAATGTAAATTCCAATTAAATTTTGTGTGTACACGCCGAATCTTTATGAAGTAAGGGATAGTGCTGCTTGCACGTTAATGTTGTTTCTGTCATAAGCTCTATAGTTAACAACATTTTGTAAATTGGATAAAGTGGTATATGGATATTTAATACAAACCCTTCTACCTATTACTTATTGGTAATCATGAAATGTATACAATTTACAACAACTGTCATATTTATATAACGCCAGAATCTGCTGTCCTTTATAATTCATGAAGTTAATACTGACAAAACATAGTTTAATTTATTCACACTAAATATCCAATCGTTTTAATCAAACTTTAAAATTAATTGTTCTAATCTAATAAATAAAATTTATGAAAGTTATAATAACAAACAGAGTTTAAATAGCATTATTCATTTTCCAATACGATCAGATTTGTTAAAATTTGAATAATATCATGTCATTCAATATACTTTTATAGAGAAACGCATTGAATACTACTTTTTAAATTGAAATTATTTTTTTGTAATACCGTATTTTTGTCATTTGCTTTGAGCGTATAGTAGTCGGTATCGAAGACTTTATGTTTCTATTTCATGATTTCTCTTACTTTTATGATAAAAATATATAGACATGTACAATAGAGACCTAATAAAATATTATATACTATTTACTGAAATGCTAAAATAATACAACAAGTTAACGTACAGGTCAATATTTAATGCTTTAAAAAATCGAGTAGAAAAATTTTAATTGCACAAACTTATACATAACACAAAATGTGCTAACAAAAATTGATTACGCTTATTACAGAAATAATAAATTCTTTATTGCGTTAAAATATGTTAATGATAACGTAAACGTTAATATCCTGTATATTATATTGCTAATATGAATAATTAGTTGAAAATAATATGTTATTGTTATCAATTAAACTAAATTGCTTATTATTCTGTTTACAACGGGCGTGCGATAGTTTTTTTTCATATGAAAACATCAAATGCAAATAAAGTATATTAATTTATATTTATACTTGCATATTTATTTTAACAAATGAAATATGAATTAGTAGAGGTATTATTTTCAAATCGCTCATTTCTGCATATACTACAAGCGGCATATATAAAATATATGCTGGTTTTTACTTATTGTTAGAAGTTTTGTTTGTCCTATGAATTACTTTCACACATGTATAATAAAGCAATGGGTGAAATTTTGCCGATCTTTTCCATTTTATATTATGTACTTTGCTTTCTTTGGTTACTGTTTAGTTTCTATGGAACTTTTTTCTTTGCAAAAGTGTTAATATTTTTTATAAAAAAAGTTAGATTTTTTTTTTCAAAAATAGCAATTCAATATCAACTAAAAATTTGTAACATATCCGGAACATATCTCGGATACATTCACACCAAATATTTTTTTCTTCCAATTAACTCACGATCAGTACTTTATTATCTTTTACCTATAGTTTAATTTCTTCAGTATCTTCCCGAAGGTAAAGTTCATGTTTTTGCCAGGAAATCCGAGTTGCCAATTCTATGTTTTCTCTACGTTTCAAGCCATTCTGAATCGTTCGAGACCAAAATTTCATCAACGTTTTCTCAAAAACAACTGCAACGATTTCAAAAATTTAAAAGTCATTCGATATAACTCAGTAGGGACCCGCGTTTATTAGTTTGCGCGACAAATCATTTACGCAACGATCGGCCAAGCCCTTTCTTCAGAATATAGCAATTTCTCGTTCTCAAGCCTAAATTCGTGGACCGATTTTAAAAGTGCATAATTTATTCGCAAGATATCATTTGCAAATCGTTCCGAATAGTTTTTGGTAAAGATCAGACGAGTCGTTTCATGGTGATTTTAATGAAATTTCTTGCGATAATCTTAGTCTTAATGAATATACTAAAACATTAGGTCTACGACAAGTGGTTCAATTATGAAACTTAATTAAAGTTTGGATCGGCTGGTCTTTTAGAAAATACTTCGTGTACGTGCGTGTTCATTTTTCAATAATGTGTTGTTTTTTTTATTAACTCTTTTATTTACAACTGTCCAGTAAAGGACATTCATTAAATAATGTGTTGTATTTAAATTATTTGTTGAAAATAACAAACATGTTTGGAAAATCTTTACAAAATTGAATAATCTGAAGTAGTTTTTCACATAATAAAACTCTATAGTAACTCGCTATACTAAATCAATTATAAATTAATATATGTTATAATATTTCTCATTGATTAAGTGGATTATTTACACATATCGGAAAGTTTATTCTCATACCTAGTTTTATCATTAGATAGATTAAAGGAATAAAAAATAAACAAATAAATTATTTAAAGGTGAAATAGTTATTATGCTATCTTATTTTAATATCATATTGCTTGAACAATATATGATACTGCTTATTTCTATATACTGAAAATTAAATTAAAAAAATGTCTAAAGAGTACAAATACCTCCAAATTTTATTTTGGAGTATTTGACATGACTATAAAATAATAAAAATGACTTCCTATAAAACAAAGTATGACTACATTAAAGATATTTAATGTTGATCATAAATACTTTCAAAAAGATCAATATTATTTCTCTAAATGAATTAATATTTTTGTCAACAAATATTTAATTATTACTTATGTTATATATTTAAAATAAATATTGTTAAATGAGTAAATATAAAAATGCCCAGGGTGATAAACAATATGCTTTCAACTAATATTTAGCTGGCAATCATATACCATGCATTATTTCTATTGATGATTTAAAGTGGTATCTAATTAAAATTTTATGGACCAAACAATTGTTGTTTATAACATGATATAGCATCCAATATTCAAATCCATAATGATTATGTCCTTTTACATGATGTCGTCAAACTGTTTATGAATACGTGGTCTATTTCTAATTCTTCCTACTGTCACTCGTTTCTAGATCAACGTCCAGCGGCAGTAGCTTGACTTCACCTAACAACGTGACCAACGGTTCCTCCTGTGTTGGAAACGTGCCGGTAGCGATGTCACAGCCACCAGTTGTAAGCAGTGGCGGCAGTGGCGGAGGCATGTATTCTATGGGGGCACACTCACTGTACAGCCCTCCTTTGGGCCCCGTTCAAGGTTACTGTTCAGGTCCCGACAATTTGGGAGCCTTAGCTGGACACTACAGTGACGTCAGGGCCGCCGGTGGATGGTATGGGCCCGCCACCAATGACCCGCGATTTGCAAGTAAGTTAATTTAAATATACCTATATATATATATATATATATATATATATACAGGGCCGTGCCTGGGTATGTGCAACAATTGGCCAAACCGTTTCTAATCAACAGGAAAGTCTACAAATTTTCGTACATGTTTTAGCCAAAAATCCTGCATCGTTTTTAAACATTCAGAAACTGTTTGAAAGATATCATTTGGAAATCGTGCTGATTAGTTTTAAGAGATCGGACGGATCGTTTCTTGGTATTTAATTGTTAAATATTCATATTAATATATTTTTACGATGATATTTGGCGATAGAGATCATGATCTCAAATATTTCGACCTTACGACAAGTCGTTTTAATTTTGAAATTATTATCACAGTTTGAAAAAATGAGCAGCACTTCTTTACGTGAAGCAAAATTTCATCTTTAGTCGACGTTTTTTTAAAAATCTTATTTGAAAAATCTATGAAATTCAATAAGTACTCGTGCTGGTTACTTTTGCTTTAAGATCGGCCGAGCCGTTTCTTTAGGATTGTCAAAAGTGTGAAATTTTTTGCCCACGTTATAGTCTAAATTCGTGAATCAATTTTGAAAATCCAAAAACCATTACAAAGGTACTATTTGAGAATCGTGCTGATTAGTTTTAGTTAATGATCCGTCGAGTCGTTTCTCAGTTTTTGATTAACTAATTTTTTTGGCGATTTTGGATCCTGTTCTTAGTGAACATACTACACGTTTTTTTTTGTCCAATAATATTTAATTTTGAAACCATTTATAAAAAATAACTAACATGTTTATAAAATTTGTACAAAATTAAGAATAATCTGCGACAGTTTTTCACATTGCAATGCACTCATAAATTAATATTTTGTTTATAGTTAAGTAGATTATTTACACGTGTTCAAAAATTCATGCATCTTGCCTTAGGGCAAAGTTACAACTTACACCAAGTTTATACACTTACATTTTAATAATTTGAAAACAAAGCTTTTTAATACGATTTCGCTTTCAATACGGCCGCCTTCGGCTGATTTTGACAACGGTCGTCTTTTAACTCAGCGGATTTTCAATATACGGCTGCGAATGAATTCAGCGGACTTTTAGTTTGGCCGCCTCTTAATCTAGCGGTCTTTCAATTTGGCCGCCTTTTAATTCAGTGGACTTTCAATGCGACCGCTTTTTATTACGGCCGCTTTTTGTTATAGTCAGTTTTTGTGTATGGCCGCCTTTAAATTTTTTCATTTTTATATTTGGCCGCCTCTCGGCCGCCCCGTATATATATATATATATATATATATATATATATATTAGTGATGTAACGAATGTTGGATTTTTCACATTCGCGAATGCGAATGCGAATGCGAGTATTCATCTTCAATATTCGCGAATGCGAATGCGAATGTTAAATTTCAAATAAAGCGCGCGCAAAATGTTTGACATTTCGTGTCGTGAATGAAACTAGCTGTAAGTGGAATTCTGTCTTAAGACAATTAAGGCATCGTGCCTTAAGGCAAATTGCTGGAACTTCCCGTACCAAAAATTATTATTTTTTTAAAAACGATTTTGAAAAAAATTTACTTCGAAAAAATAAGATTTTTGACAAACAATTAGACAAAAAATTACTTTTTTTTAAAAAAAAATTTTTATTATTATTATTTTTTTTAAATTTTTTTTTTGAAAAAAAAATGTTTTCTTTATTAACTTCCCGTAGGGCAAGTTATAGTAATCGCAAAAAAATCGAAAATGAAAATTTTTATATATCTTTACGTTTCAGAGGTTTCTGAACATTTTGGCATACCTTAGAAAAAATGGATGTATGTGTGTGTGTGTGTGTGTGTGTGTGTGTGTATGTATGTATGTATGTATGTATGTATGTACGTGTGTGTATGTATGTGCGGATACAAATTTTCGTCGACGATTTCGGGAACATGGGTCAACCGATTTGAATAATTCAAAAAAGATTCGATTCGTATTGATAAGGAGACGTGCTGATTAGTTTTTGGCAAAGGCAGGTCTAGCCGTTCCGAAGATACGGGGCAAAAAGTGTCGAAAACGGTAACTCAGTTTTTAAGAGAACGGAGCGTCCGATTTGAATAATTCAAAAAACATTTCACTTATATTGACAAGATAAAGAATCGATAAAATTTTCATGAAGGTAGGTCTAGCGGTTTCGGAGGTATGGAGGAAAAAGTAAAAAAATGAGCCATTTGGCGGTCAAAAATGATCATTAGACATATGCACATCAAATTATCAGATATTTTATAGAGATTTTAACAATAAGTATACAATTTGTTAACATTCCTATAGGTTCCGTACCAATGCTTATGCGTTAGACAGCGACGCGGCGCTTACGCGCTTTATATTTTGTCCCTATGCAGTTAAAGCAGTACGATTGCTTTCAAAAGAAAGTTCAGATCTTCCACAATATGTCAAAATAAAAAAAAAAAAAATTCAAAAAAAAAAAACAAAAAAATAAAATTAAAAAAAATTTTTTTTAAAAAAAATTTTTTTTTCAATGAAAAGTAATTTTTTGTCCAATTTATAGTTTCTCAAAAATCTTATTTTTTCAAAGTAATTTTTTTTTTTTCAAAAATGTTAATCGTTTTTAAAAAAATAATAATTTTTGGTACGGGAAGTTCCAGCAATTTGCCTTAAGGCACGATGCCTTAATTGCCTTAAGACAGAATTCCACTTACAGCTAGTTTTGACATATTTTGAAGGATCTAAACTTTTTTTCAAGCCAATCGTACTGCTTTAACTGCATAAAGACGAAATATCAAACCGCGTAAGCGCCGCGTCAACGTCTAACGCGTAAACATTGATACGGAACCCATAGGAATGTAAACCAAAATTATACTTATTGTTACAATCTCTATAAAATATCTGATAATTTGATGTGCATATGTCTAATAATCATTTTTGACCGCCAAATGGCATTTTTTTTACTTTTTTCATTAGATCTCCGAAACCGCTAGACCTGCCTTTATGAAAATTTGATCGGTTCTTCACCTTGTCAATACAAGTAAAATGTTTTTTGAATTATTAAAATCGGACGCTCCGTTCTCTTAAAAACTGAGTTACCGTTTTCGGCACTTTTTGCCCCGTATCTTCGGAGCGGCTAGACCTGACTTTGCCAAAAACTAATCAGCACGTCTCCTTATCAATACGAATCGAATGTTTTTTGAATTATTCAAATCGGTTGATCGGTGTTCCCGAAATCGTCGACGAAAATTTGTATCCGCACATACATACACACACGCACACACACACACACACACACACACACATACATCCATTTTTTCTAAGGTATGCCAAAATATTCAGAAACCTTTGAAACGTCGAGAAATGCAAAAATTTTCATTTTCGATTTTTTTGCGATTACTATAACTTGCCCTACGGGAAGTTAAAAATGTGCAATTGAAACCAAATGTTAACATTATGAATATTAGAACTTTACTTTTGTTTTAAATAGAAATAAATATTTTTTTTGTAAAAAGCTTATTTACAAATAGTCAAGTATTCATTATTTGGTTTTTTAAGTTTATATTTCATTATCATATTTAATTCTTAGAAAATATATAGTGGAATGGAAACATAAATAAGTATGATTAAATAAAAATATATAAATCTTAGTTGTGTTATCATTTCATATGCAACTATATAATAATTTCCTTTTTGTTTGTTAAATACATTCGCTATATATTCGCATCGTTTTTTGCGAATAGGAATGCGAATGCGAATATCGAAAAATATGCGAATATTTGCGAATGCGAATGCGAATGCGAATATTCGTTACATCACTAATATATATATATATACATATGTGTGTGTATGTGTGTATAAACACGGTGCACAGTACACCTATTTGTATAAAGAATAGGTGTATACAAATTATCTTTATGTGAAAATCAATGTTTGTACTTGAGTCAAACATTGATTTAAAAAATTCGCAAATTTTCAAAATAAGCCGAAAAAAATGTGTTCATTTACAGGCTTCTCTACCCTTTCTCTCGTCAGGATTATACATTGTACATATGCATGGATTTCTACTGCATTTTTCTCATAAAAATTATATTTTTTATATTATCATTATTGTGCACAACAGATATTGAACAGAAATGGGAATCGGAAATAATCGTTAATTTTGATTCCTTAAAATTTCCATCTATATGATGTCTATATTATCTTTTACTTTTCCGACATTGTGATTTTTCCTATATTCAATAACTTGTCTTTTCTTCAATTTTTTCCAACTGAGTGACTTTTGCTGCTCATACGTATATCTGATACAGATTTATCCGTTCATGCAAATCTTCTTTGCTTATTTTGACATTCTACTCAAGCATCCATGTTTATCAAGTAGATTTGATCATCTTGTAAATATAATATCATCCAAATACCCAATCGCTTCTTGTATATACCATATCACCAGACCAATCAACTCTAACAATAAATTAATTTTTTTGCATTACATAATTGAGCTCGGTTTTACGAAACATTGAAGAAAAATTAAACTAGTTGGTATTTTTCCTTGAGGCAAGTTACATGAACTTTCCGATATATGTGTAAATAATCGACTTAATCAATGAAAAATAAATTAATTAAGGTATCTACCGTAAAAAAAATAATACTAAAAATTGTCGAAAAAAAATTTTCAACACATTATTACAAGAAAACGGACCTGCCGATCTCTACCAAAAACTAATCAGCACGATTCCCGACCAATATCTTTCGAACGATTCAGAACTGCTGGTTAAAACGTGGACGAAAAAATTTTCACTTTTCTGCTATTTATAAAGAAACGTCTTGGCCGATTGTCGCACAAAACTGACAAACAATAGTCCTCATCGAGATACATCGAATGGCTTTTAAATTTTTGAAATCGGTCCAGCCGTTTTTTGAGAAAACGTCGATCCACGATAAAAAATTTGTTTACATACACACATATACTTTTTCCAAATTTGGTCTCATTCGATACAAAAAGGCTTGAATTTTTTGATGAAAACATAAACATCTCCT